ACTTCTTGATGAGTAGAGCCCACCTGCCCCAACACATCCTCACCTTCTACAGAAGCACCATAGAGAGCATTCTGACCAGCTGTCTCACTGTGTGGTGTGGAGGCTGCAGCGCCTCAGACTGGAAGAAAGTGAGGAGAGTGGTGAGAACAGCAGAGAAGATCATCGGGGCTCCTCTTCCCTCCATTAAAGACATTTCATCCCAGCACTGCTTGTCCTGAGCCCGTAACATCATAAATGACCCCTCACACCCCCACCATGGACTGTTCTCCCTGCTGCCCTCTTCGAAGCATCCGATGCAGGTCCAGCAGATTCCATAACAGTTTCTTCCCCACTGCCATTAGACTGTTGAATGTTTTGTAAAATGGGTTATTGTATTTTATTTTATTATATTTTATAATTATATATATAAATAAATATATATATATAACAAAAAAACAAAAACAAAAAAAAAAATGAAAATGTTAGAACTGTAAATTTACAGTCATATGTTTATATTGCTGTTTTTATATATCTTTTTACTATTTTTCAAGGCTGCACTTTTAAAAAATGAAATTGTCCATAGAGCTGTTCTAAACCAAATTTCTTTTTGTTTTACACTTGTGTAAACAAAATGACAAATAAATCTATCTACGTCTAAGTCTAATTGTAGCTCCGACTAGCAGCCTCAACAATAGAGGCCCGGCACATGGTCTACTCAGACTCAGTGTCCCCCACCTCCCTCAGAACGTGTTCAAAGCTTCGCCAGAGGGGGTAGTTAAAGCTCCTTCTCACGGGGGACTCTGGCAGACATTCCCAGCAAACCCTCATAATACATTTGGGCCTACCAGGTCTGACCAGCGTCCTCCCCCACCATTGGAGCCAACTCACCACCAGGTACAGTAGTGGTCGGTGAAGAGCTGTCCCGAGTGTCCAAGGCATGCGGCCGCAGGTCACATAAAATAACAACAAAGTTGATCATTGAACTACGACCTAGGGTGTCCTGGTGCCAAGAGCACATATGGACAACCGTAAGCTTGAACATTGTGTTCGCTATGGATAATCCGTGCGAGCAGAGAAATCCAACAACAGTACATCACTTGAATTCAGGTCATTTGGGCCATTCCTTCCAACCACACCTCCCCAGGTCTCACTGTTATTTCCCACGTGAGCGTTGAAGTCCCCCAGAAGAACAAGGGAGTCCTCAGGAGAGTCCCTTCCATTACCCCCACTATACAGTAGACTCCAAAAAGGGTGGGTAATCTGAACTGCTGTTTGGCACATAAGCCCAAACAACAGTCAGAACCCGTCCATCCACATGTATGCAGAGGGAGGCAACCCTCTCATTCACCGGGGTGAACACCAACGTACAGGCACCAAGCTGAGGGGCAACAAGTATGCCCACTCCTGCTCGGCGCCTCTCACCAGGGGCGACTCCAGAGTGGAAGAATGTCCACCTCCTCTCAAGGAGACTGGTGCCAGAGCCATGCATCGAGGTAAGTCCAATTATCTCTAGTCGGAATCTTTCAACCTCGCTCACTAACTCAGGCTCCTTCTCGACCAGAGAGGTGACATTCCATAAAAAAAACATTGCTGCAGCTTTATATTAAAGCCCCAAATGAATCTGTGCAGCATCTGAAACCAGAACAGATAGAGAACATTTATCAGCCTATAATAAAAACATGAGAACTACATTTAAAACTGCAATCAAGGCAATGGGATGGTTTCTATGCTGAATGAGGCAGTGAGAGGTGATTCATTCTCAGAGAGAGATCTGTAAATTTTGTCAGTTTTTTTTTCATAAATAGTGGATTCAATTCAATTCAGTTTATTTATATAGCGC